CATTTGTATAGAAAGTTAAATTTTAGTTAATTTCCACAACTCAATGAAGAAATACAAATGAGTTTAAGAAACTAAACTCTTTTGATCAAAGCTAAAACCAAAAACAGCTGTGACTCTCAACTGTTTCTTCCATATTGAGTTCCTGACAGCATGTTTATGGTATCTAAAGTAGGGATGCAAAGAATGAGCAACCATACATGCATGATTATTCCTAGCAAGCACACCCCAAAGGTTTTTTGTTGTCATTGTTGTTATTGTTTGTTTTTGGCAATTTCACTTGTACGTAGTCTTTTCCTCAATCTTGTTTGAATTTAATGTCATTTAAATCCACAGAAATAGAAAGCAGAATAGTGATTGCTAGGGATTAGCAATTGCTAGGGGAATTTCGGGGTGATGAATTAAAGTGGTAGTTGCACAACACTGTAAATATACTAAATGCCACTAACTGTTCACTTTAAAATGGTTAATTTTATGTAATGTGATTTTTTTCCCTCAGTAAAAAATTGTATGTTAATACATAGATAAAACTGACTCCCTGCTGAGTTGGGCGTGGTGGTGCATGCCTGTAATTCCAGTGACAGGCTGGAGGTAGGAGGATCCTGAGTTCAAAGACAGCCTCAGCAACTTAGGGAGGCACTTGCAACTTAGGGAGACYCTGTCTCTAAACAAAATATAAAAAAAGGGCTAGGGATGTGGCTCGATGGTTAAGCACCCAAGTTCAATTCCCAGTACCAAAAACAAACAAACAAAAAAACAAAAAACACTGCTACTATATCCTAATGTTATTTGGATCTTAAGAGATTTTTAGATAAAAATGATTACAAGTTAAATTATTATTATATATGCACAGTAATAATCACTGAGGGGCATAACCAATGCCAGGAAAACATTATGAATTAATAATTAGTTTCTCACCTAGTATACAGAAAGCAAACAAAAATATTACATAAGAAGTAAACAGGCTCAAGTCTAAATAATAATGGATAAAAATAAATATACTGAAGCTAACTGTCTTGGGTACATAGGGAAACATTACTGAAGATTGGTAAACCTCACACTTGAAAATATTAGAAATATAATAAATACTTAGAGGGGCTAGAGTTGTAGCTCAGAGAGAGAGCACTTGCCTAGCATGTGTGAGGCACTTAGTTAGATCCTCAGCACCACGTAAAAATAAATAAAATAAAGGTATTGTGCTCATCTACAACTAAAAATATATTTTAAAAAAGGAAATACTTAGAGAAACTCTGGACTCATAAAAATTCCTTTGTGTAAATGTCTATAACTTCCAAGGCCTGTTCAAATCCACTCTAGACTCCTTGATTAAGTAAAAGAAAAGGGGATCTTAAAATGGATCCCAGAGAACAGGCTCATTTTAAAATTTGACTATTTTGTTATACAGGTCAATCTGAGAAGTTAAGTCCTCTGAATCAAATTCTAAAGAATACCTAACCCCTGAGCATAGACAGGGCCAAAGCTAAACCAGGTCAGAATACTGTGCCAAGGAACATCCTGATCTGAGGTGTTCCTCTAACAGGGATCATTTATCAGTTTTCATTTTGTTGGATGCTGACTGCCTTCAAGATATATGCAAAAGAGACTGACTAGACCCCATCAAACTCCACATCAAATCCTAAGATATAAAGAAAAAATAAAAGCCTTCAGAATTCTAAATGCCTAAAGAAAAAAAAAATTTAGAAATGAATAATTATAAATATTAGCTGACCAAACTTTAACAGCATTGAATGTTATTAATTTTTAAATTTTCACAAAATATTTTAAAGGTACCATTTAGTAACTATTTACATAACAAGTTAAAACCATGAAACAATCACAGCAAGGTCACAAATCTGTCCTATATAAATGATATAAATTTCTATATTTCATAGCATTCAGATCTAATAAAAACAAAAGCAAGTGTTACTTTGTGGTTTGCAAGACTGAACAATTTCTTCACCATATAAGTGAATATTTGGCAGGGTACAAATAATATTAAAAAGGAAATTAGAGGTAAGGGCAAGTACAGTATTTCAAAACTGTTCACAGTTTAAAAAAAAAAAAAAAAACTGTCATCACGGAAGATGCTTCAAGGTTGTTTTGTTTTGCAGTACTTGGGACTGATCCCAGGGGCAWGTTACCATGAAGTTGCATTCCCAGCCCTTTTTATTTTGAGATAGTCTCCCTAAATTGCCCCGCTAGCCTCAAACCTGTGATCCTCGTCCTGCTTCAACCTTCTGAGTTGCTGGGATTACAGGTGAGCACCACTGTGCCCAAATTGCTTCAAAGTTTAATAGTGACACATGGTGACAGCAGTAAAGCAGCTGGGACATAAAACCCTAGTCTGAGTAAGCTCTTTTATCTAGTAATTATGTGACTTTTTTTGCTAGTTATTTAGCTTTTTCCAGCCTCAGAGTCTACACCAGTAAAATATCTCAGGTGGCAGGATCCCAAATTCAAAGCAGCCTCAACAACTTACAAAAGCCCTGAGCAACTCAGGAGACCCTGTCTCAAAATAAAAAATAGAAAAAACAGAAAGAGCTGGTATATGGCTCAGTGGTTAAACATCCCTGGTACCAAAATAACCCACAAATACTGTAGCATAACTAGAAGGATTAAATGAGACGTTTTTACTCATTCAAAAAAAATATGCTCTGAAAAAATGTAATTTTATTTTATCTGAAATTCCCTTTTCCAATCTCTTCAAATGAATCAAACATATGTTAATTATAATTCTTAAAATATGGTTCCAAAATAAAGGAAATGTTTAAATATTACTGGAGAAAATATGAACTGAAATGAGACCCACTGAACTTGAAGATATGACAATAGAGGAATCACAAATCACTTAACAGGTTTTTCTTGCATTGGGGATTAAACCCAGGGGCCCTTCACCACTAAGCTACATCCATGGTCCTTTTTATTTTTTATTTTCTTTGTGTGTGTGTGTGTGTGTGTGTATTGCTGAAAATTGACCTGAGGGCCTCCTGCATGCCAGGCAAGCACTCTACATCCTCAGCAGGTCCTTTTTATTCTGAGACAGGATCTTGCTAAGTTGCTTAGGGCCTTGGTAAGTTACTGAGGCTGGCCTTGAATTTATAATCCTCCTGCCTCAGCCTCCAGAGTCATTAGGATTACAGGTGCAGGTCACCTCCATGGGCTCTCATGATAGTTTTGACAAATAAATAAACAATTCCCTAAAAAACTTCTCAATATTAAACAGAAAATAGGGACCCAGACTCAACCCAAAAATTACTGGCTCAATATTCAATTTCAAATAGAAAATTTTCCCACTTAAAAAATCTTTGTTTCAGGAAAATGTTATCAAACATTTTAAATTAAATCCATGATACAACATAATGAGTTTTTTTTTTTCCCCCCCACAACCAAGCACACTGAATACTTGAAAATTACAAACTCACAAATCAGTACAATTGTTCTAATAGACTTTGGGGCACAAATAAATTCAAGCATCCCTATAATATAGACTTTACTTGGACTCTATGGGCTGAGGGGAAAAAGTGTTCTTTCTGAATTACTTATTCCCAAAAAAGTCACATTAGCAGGAGCCATGTGAAAGCTGAACATCCACAACATTATTTATGGTAGGCATAAAATGAACATTCTTTCACTCCAAATCCTAAACAACTTAGGTTAGCCTCCATGTTCACTCAATTGCTAGTGTATTCACCACCAATTTTTTCGGAAGAACTAAGAATTAGAATAGTGTTACTTATTAAACTTCACATAACCCGACAAGGCTTTCAATTATTGCAAACAGGAACCAATCCTTATCAGAAATTTACCCTTAAAATAGATCAAAGATAGTAACTGGTATCTTGTCTGCCCAAATCAATCTTCCTCTCTAGAATATGAATAAATCCCTTAGATGAACCCTGCAATTGAAAGTTAAAAAACAGTGGAAAGCAATGTTCTTGGATATATCCAAGCAATTTTAATATCAATTTCTGTGCACGAAGTTACAATCTGGAAGAGAAATAACTTAGATCTTTTCTTCTTCACTTGGAAATTAATGTGGTAAATGCCTTGAAAACTTAAGTTTAGGAAAATTAGTGGCTAACTTTGAAAGCTGAGACACTACTAAAGTACAGAGGAGCAAATAGAATGGAAAGAGCTGTCTGTCCCCTTCAGCGTAAACACAACAGAACCATAGCTGTTTCTAATATTTGAAAAGTACTGGTAGAAGTTTTGAAATCTTACAAAATGTGCTTTTGATATTTCAAAGCCAAGAGGCAAAAGTTGGCCTTTTGAATAATTTTAGGACAAAATAAGGAAAAGGCGAGATTAGAACACCGGACAGGACCCCAGAAGCACCTCTCAGGGCTGAAGAAGTGCTTCCTGAAGTCCATTTTATGCTGCTTAATGCTCCTTCGGCTGCACGTTAATAATTCAAAACGGCTCGTCTGAATAAAAGTTCTATCCCAACATTACAATTTGCGCGTTGCCAGTCAGTGGCTTTGTCTGAGTTTCTGGGGCTGTTCCGGGCTCTCAAGAGGTAACGCTGCCGGCTCCACCGGGCCCTACWCTCAGGTCGCCGTCCCCCGGGACGCCGCACAACCGCTGCCGGGAGCCGCCGCTCCGGGCGGTCTGCAGAGAGACGCCCTCCACCCCGGCTACAGCCACTCGGCTGCGGTGGTGGTGGCACTTGGGCCGCTTTTTGTTTTTTCCTGAAGACACCTGCACACGCAATTTCCCCTCGCCGACAGGAGAAGGAAGACTGGGCCGTCGTCCCGGAGCCCGGGGAAAAGGACCCCGCGGGCCTCGGCGGCCAGCGGAGCGGCCTGCCCGCTGCCGCCCCGCCCGCCGCCGCCCGCCCCGCTGCACTCGCTGCGCGCCCCCCGCCCGGCGCCCCCGCCCCGGCTCGCGCGGCGGCCTGAGGCCTGCGGACGCCGGCTGCGGACGGGCCCGGCCGCCGGCGGCGCAGGGCGGGACGAACCTCCGCCGCCGCCCATTGTTCCCCGCCGCGGCCGCCGCTCGCTCACCGCGCTGGTCCGAGCAGCAGCTCCTCTCAGCTCCGCGTCCCCGCGGCCGTCGCCACCGCCGCGGCAGCCGCCGCCGCCGCCGCTGCTACCATCGACGCTGACTCTGTCCCAGGCCGCCGGGCCTCGGCCGCTGCCGCCAGCGCCGCCTCCAGCCCCCCACCTGCTGCTGCCGAGGCCGCTCCTGCAGCAGGGGCCATCTTGTAGGTCGGCCTCCTCTTCCTCCTCCGCGTCCTCCGCCGCCCCGCCGCTCGTTGTCCTCGTCCCCTTCCTCTTCCTCAGACTCCGGCCCGCCCCGGAGACAGGGGCGTGGCCCGGAGAGGCTCCGCCCCCGGGGCGGGGCGGGCGGTGGAGTCGCCCGCGCGCAGCCGGGTGGGGGTGCTGCGAGCGCCCTCGGGCCGGGACGAGTGGAGGTGGGCTGCTCGGCGGCGCCCGCGTCCCGGCTGCGGTCCCACGCTCCCGGAGTGGGCCGTCCCTTCCACGTCTCCCCCACGTGTGCTTTCCCCGCTACCCTCTGTCCAGGCTCCCCGCCACGCCGGCTTTGCCCTTTCGCCACCCSGCTCCTAACGTCCCCAAAGAGTTGCGCCTCCCCCGCAGGGAACCACCCAGAGGCCAGGCCAGTCGCTGCTCGGAAACGTCTTTGGAGCAACGTGAACAATAAGAACTATAAGGGGTGGAAAGGGACAGCTTCCGCCTGGAAGAGCTCCTGCATCTGGACGCTAACCTGTGACTGCAAAGTTTCTTGCTCCTTATGAAAAGGATGTTGTCTGGGTTTGAGAATGGGAGAGAGCTTCAAGGCAGGACCATTTAGCCAATCCCCTGCTTTTGAGAAGGGATAGAAATGAAGTTCATTTAATATCGTAAAATTTTGTTAATTTCAACACCCATTTAATAGTCTCCACTCCACTCTGCGACTTGCTTCGATTCTTGACCAAGAGAGCAGAGAATTCGTTCTTCTGTCCTTTCTTCGTTATGTACATCAATCAAAGAAAAAAAYTGTTAAGAAACTTCTGTCCCTAACTCAATAAAGTGAATCTCTGTGACCCATAGTTTTTATATTATTTGTAAAACATATCACATACCTTCTTAAACTTGCCAAGGAAGAACTCCTTTTAGTTGATAACACTGCCAGCAACTAAGATTTCAGCTCTTTAGAAGACCTATTGATGACTCTATATTGATTAAATATACTGCCTTTGAGGTGGGCTAAATCTATACCTTCCTGTCAGCCTACTGAATACAGCAGTACCCTCTTAGCTGAAGTTTCTGTGGTATGTCATCCTTAGAAAACTGCTGTCTGAAATATTAAATGGAAAATTCCAGAAATAAACAATTCATGAGTTTTAAATGATTTGTTATAGTATATTGTTATAATTGCCCTATTTTATTACTGTTGTTAATCTCTTACTGTGACTCATTCATAAATTAAATTTATCATAACTATGTATGTGCAGAAGAAATGTATATATTATTTATATTTTTTTTAAAGAGAGAGTGAGAGAGAATTTCAATATTTATTTTTTAGTATTTGGCGGACACAACATCTTTGTTTGTATGTGGTGCTGAGGATCGAACCCAGGCCGCACGCATGCCAGGCAAGCACGCTACTGATTGAGCCATATCCCCAGCCCCTATTATTTATATATTTATTATATAAATGTTATATATATGTATGTTATATATACATATATATATATATGTACACACACACACACAAACACAGGGTTCAGTACTATCCTTAGTTTCAGCCATCAGCTGAACATCTGGGAACATATACCTGCAGATGAGGGGTTAACTTTTGTAGTAACTCCAGTACTACAGAGATTAAATCTCTACTACCACAAGGGGATGAAGTTAGCCTGTGCTAATCTAAGGGCTGTCTCTTGGAGAGAGAGTTCCTACCTCCAACAACCAGGCCTCTGTCCCCTGAAAGGAAAACAGATTAATCTGTTCCTCTTGCTTTTCCTCCTCCTCCCTTCTCCCTCCCAGGGAACCTTCCACAACAGAAGGTTTTAGCTGCTGTTGCTAGGCRAACGTGCCAACTTCCCTGTTTAGGTGAAACAAGTGATTCAACTTCCATTACAAATAACCTAGATAATATAATTTCTTTGAAATATTAATAGCTGTACCTCAGTTGGTAAAGACCCTTCAGAGTTCCCTTATAAAATATTATTTTGAAAGTTAAATTTATTTTTATTTTATTAATATCTCAACTAAAATAAGTTTAAAAGAGGAGCTTCTCAAAATTCATTTAAATGATATAGCTAAGCAGAAATATTTTACAAAGAAAGAAGACTGGTTTTGAAGAAACACTTTAAATGTTTACAATGAAAACTAGGAAAAGTCATGTATATTTTGAACTGAAAGTATGAGACATAGAGGACAGACTGCAAGAATGAGATATATTGGATACTTTGTCCCTTGTGGTGATTCAGCAAGGGGTGAAAAAGACTGAGTTTTATTCCCAAAGTAACAGCTATTTTAAAATTTGACCTAGTGAATTAAGGTCTTTTTTTTTTCCTGATTTTGTTGTTTAATTTTTTGTTTTACAAAACACTGGAGTTACTATAAAAGTTAACCCCTCATCTGCAGGTATATATTCCCAGATGTTCAGATGTTGAGATTTGTTGTGAATTAATTAATACAAATAAGATTGAATAATGATGGCACACACTTGTAATCCCAACTAGTTGGGAGCCTGAGGAAGGAGGATCACAAGTTCAAGGCCAGCCTGGGTAACTGATACAGCCTCTGTCTCAAAGAAAAAAGACGGGGATATAKCACAGTGGTAGTGCTCTTATCTAGCATGTGGGAGGCCCTGGTTTCAATCCCCAGTACCCTCCACCCAGCCCCCAAAGAAGAATGAGACATTATATTGAAACTTAAATATACATATAATTTCAATACTCTTAAAATTGAATGATTCACTTAATCCAAGGAAATTTGTATTGATACACTGAAATGAATAGTGTTTTATGAACTGCCTTCAGCTAAGATAATAGATCAAAAATATATGACTTAAAATAAACATTTAAATATTTTATAGTCACTTATACCCAGAAATCACTGTTTTGTAGCTTCAAAACAATTTAAAGCACTAGTTTTATTTAATTATGATGTGGAATGCCCAGAAATTTAGATTCTGCCCTTGCTTCCACTATCAATATACTATGAGAATTAAATGAGTAATTTTATATAAAGTACTTAGTATATAGCACATAGTAAGCACACAAAAAATATTTTTAATTAATTTTATGTATATGTCATTATAGTCTTTAGTTTCTCTTTTTTTCCTTTCTTTTTTTGTTTGTTAACTTGTTTGCAATACTGGGGATTGAACCTAGGGCTTTGGGCATGCTAGGCTGAGCTACATCCCCAGATGTTTTTTTATTGTTGTTTTTGTTTTTGAGACTGGGGCTCCATCCATTGTCCAGGTTGACCTCAAACTTTCAATTCTCCTGCCTCAGCCTTCCAGGTAGCTGGAATATAGCCTTAAGCCCACGTGCCCCAACTTAGTGTCAAATACAGTCTTGCTCTTCCCAGAAACTCTAAAAAAAAAAAAAAAAAAAAAAAAAAAAAAAAAAAGATTAATGTGGTTTTGTATATCATAGTTAAATCAGTTAAAATTGTACCTTGTGAAATTTTTCTTTTTTTTTTTAAGAGAGAGTGAGAGAGGAGAGAAAGAGAGAGAGAGAGAGAGAGAGAGAGTGAGAGAGAGAGAATTTTTAATATTTATTTTTTAGTTTTGTGAAATTTTTCAATGTATTTTCTTATATGGCTGGATTATATTGTTACTCTTTTGATTAAAAAATATGCATTTTCAGTAATGCTTCATTTATATTTATTTTATATTTATATTMATTTATTATTTATTCAACTAGAGATTGAACCCAGGGGCATTTAACCACTGAGCCACATTCCTAGGTCTTTTTACTTTTTATTTTGAGACAGGGTCTCACCAASTTGCTCAAGGCCTTGATAAGTTGCTGACTTTGAACTTTCCATCCTCCTGCTTCAGCCTTCCAAGCCTTTGGGATTACAGTCTAGTGCCAACATGCCTGGCATGCTGCGTGATTGTTTTTAAAGAGACTACCTGCTTTAAAATTGCTCTAGAATGTGTAACTGTCAACCTATAGCATTCTTTGTTATATGAAGGCCAGAAAAACCTTAGATACCCGCTTATTTCAACAGTTGAAACTGGGACTAAGAAAGGTTGGATAGATGACTTATCTACCCAACTCCTTTATAGATAAACACCATGTAATTGAGGAGGGGGTTGGGTTGTGTGGAAGGCTGAGGAAAAGGGGAAAAAATGAATAAGTCATCAGTCAGGCCTTGGAGAAATGTAATAATCTAGTAAGAGAAATATAATGAGATGTGCATGTAAAAACTAGTGTTTAAAGTAATTTGATGCTCAGTGCATAGAAAGTTTAAAATTTTATGAGAGTTAAAACCCTCTTCCTCATGTCACTGACTCTACCTTCCAAAGGTGGTAGATAATGCCATGATATTAGAAGTACACCCAGGGGTGCCGGGGCTGTGGTGCAGTGGCAGAGCACTTGCCTAGCATGGGTGAGGCACTGGGTTCCATCCTTAGCACCACATAGAAATGAGACAAATAAAATAAAGGCATGATGTCTATCTACAAATAGGAAAAAAAAATGTATGCCCAGGGGCATGAAAGAACAGTTCTCATTTTGGAGCATCAAGGGAACAAAGAGTATGAAAATAGAATTAGGATTAATCTCGAAAAACATCGTTAAAGTACAGCTGGAACCTAAGCCTTCTCCAGTATAAATAATTTGTGTAAGGGGAGAGAATAACACTCACACACATACACAAAATAGGGAGTACAGGAGCTGAGTCACAGGGGTTTCCCAGACCACATTAGGTTACCTAAGGTTGAATCCTCCCCTTCCTCAGAGCCTTTCCTGCCCACATCCACAGATTCTCATGGCCTCCTACTCCCTCCCCCAATTTACAACTGCACCAGTCGTATTACCAGTATTTATTGGAATTAAACTCCAGAAAATAAGAAGCAGAGGAAGATGTACCAAGCAATCACACTAAGGAGACCAAAAGTGCCTGTCCCACCCTCCTATTTATTTTTGGTACTAGGGATTTAACTAAGGGGTACTTTTCCACTAAGTCACATCCCCAGCTCTTTTTATTTTTTATTTTAAGACAGGATCTCACTAAGTTGCTGAGGTCCTCACTAGATTGCTGAGGCTGCCTTTGAACTTGTGATCTTCCTGAC